TGTGGTACAGCTGCATAACTCTAACAGTCTTTTGCTAGGACTTAGTAAATTGTTAGGACAAATAACACAGTATTCCAGCTCCCCAGACTGTCCATACCAGTTAGGAATCCCTCTTCTAACTATATAGCTCGGGTGCTCTGTTGCTGAGTTTCTTTAAATGACGTGAGGATTTTAGTGTCCATATCTAGGATTCTGTGATTTGAAGACATAGGAATGAGATAAGAATGAGTTCTTATTCCACTGGGGTTTTTATTTGGTTCAAAATTAAAACAGACACAGGGCTTCCCTGCTGGCGCAGTGGTTGGGAGTCCGCCTGCCGATGCGGGGGACGCGGGTTCGTGCCCCGGTCCAGGAGGATCCCACATGCCGCGGAGCGGCTGGGCCCGTGGGCCATGGCCGCTGGGCCTGCGCGTCCGGAGCCTGTGCTCCGCAGCGGGAGAGACCGCAACAGTGAGAGGCCTGCATACTGCAAAAACAAAAACAAACAAACAAACAAAAACAAAATTAAAACAGACACAAAGAGTGGATTCTCTTGCTCTGAACTATTTCTTTGATGATTTGTGTTCTTGCCCAAGGCTGATTCTTATAAACTTTGGAGGGTTTTTCTACCCCTAAGATTCTTCTCTGGCAGCCCTTCTTCTGCCCAAATTCCTCAGGAAGCGGCACAGTGATGGGGAAAATGTAAGCTTGGTTTAGCATCTTTGTAGTTTGTTTACATTTTAAACACCCATGCTTTAGAGTTGGATAAATCAGTTGGGCTCAAGACCTGGTCTGTAACCTTGGGGAAGTTACCTATACCTCAATTTCCTCATCTATAAAATGTGGATAATTGCATCTCTTTTCCAAGGTGATGTTCTTGAAGTGCAACCATAGGGAAGTACCTAGGCCATCACTTGGCACAAACCAAGAACTTAGTAAAGCTGCTCTTTTCTCTCACTCTCCACTTTCACCCCTTCCATTGGAATGAATATCAAAACCATAAAAGTAAATTGTCTGTATTCACCTCTATTCTTGTAGAGTTCTTATTGAATCTTTATTTTTTCCTGATTTTTTTTTTTAGGCTTGGCAATACTCAGCCGTAAATAAAGAATCCACGTTACATGAATAACATTTAAAAGCTAGCTTTGCATCCAGCTTTGTCATGGTGCATGCCCCTGGCTGCTACTACAAAGGGCAAGACTGAGACCAATGAGTCCGAGTTTCAGAGTTTTCCTTTTGACCATCTTACTGGAACCCACTCTATACATAGGATCCTACCCCAGGGAGGTCAGCATTTCTCAGGGTAACTCAGCCACCAGTACCTATAAGCTTTATCTTGAAACCAATAATCATTTGCTAGCATGCTATTCTCCCAGAGCCATAAACCAGAATCCTGGAGGGGTTTGCAACAGTGTTCGCAGTTTGCAACAATGGCTGGCAAACTACTACACAAGGGACAAATCTGGCCCACTTCCTGCTTTTATACACCTGGGACCTAAATGATACATACTTTTTTTAATAATCAAAAAAATAAAATAAAGAGTAATATTTCATGACATATGAAAATTATATGAAATGCAAATTCTGGTGTCCATAAATAAAGTTGTACTGGAACAAAGCCACAGTCATTCATTTGTGTATTGTCTATGGATGCTTGCATGGTACAGGGGCAGAACTGAGTAGTTGCTACAGAGACTGTACGTCCCATAAAACCTAATTTATTTACTATCTGGCCCTTTACAAAGTTTGCTGCCCCCTGATACGGGGCACAGACTCCAGGAGCCAGACGGCCCGGTAGCATAATTCAGCTCTGGGCAAGTTCTCTCACCTCCTCTGTACCCTCAACTGGATATAGAGGATGATAACAGCATCCATCTCATGGGGTTTTATGAGGATTAAGCAAATATATAAAGCGCTTAGAAGAGGGTCTGGCACATATTAAGTACTATATATGTGTCTGTTACTATAAGTTGCCACAATTTTTTTCATAAACTAAAGCAGCAGCAGCTTACCAATCTGTTAGCAATAATTGTGAGAATTTCATTTGTAGCACTCCATTAAATTCAATTCTTTAGCAGCGGGGCAGTAGGAAGGTATTAAAGACAACTGAAATGACAATGAACATAGATGCTTTTCCATAAAACTAGTTCCGCATTCTTACAAATATTTTTTATGCTAATATATACTTCTTTCAAACTTGAGTCTTGGAGGAGCTTACACTCAACTTTGAATTCAGCCCTCACCTCTATTCCTTATAGTTGGAAGAAACGGACTTCAAAACAGAGGCTAAGGAACAGAATAGAGAGCCCAGAAATAAATCCATGCATATACAGTCAACTGATCTTGGACAAGAATGCCAAAATTACACAATGGAGAAAGGATGGCCTCTTCAACAAATAGTGCTGGGAAAACTGGATATCCACATGCCAAAGAACGAAATTGGACCCCTATCTTACACCATACACAAAAATCAACTCAAAATGGATTAAAGACTTAAATGTAAGACCTAAAACTGTAAAACTTCTAGAAGAAAACTTAGGGGGGAAGCTTTGTCACATCGGTCCTGGCAATGATTTCATGGCTATGACACCAAAAGCACAAACAACAAAAACAAAATAAATAAGTAGGACTACATAGACTAAAAAGCTTCTGCACAGCAAAAGAAACAACAGAATGAAAAGGCAACCCATGGAATGGCAGAAAATATTTGCAAACCATATATCTGACAAGGAGTTAGTCTCTAAAATAATAAGGAACTCCCGCAACTCAATGGTAAAAAAAAAAACAAGACTAATAACCCAATTTAAAAATGCGCTAAAAACTTAAATAGATATTTTTACAAAAGAGACATACAAATGAACAGCAGGTATATGGAAAAATGTTCAATGTCACTAATTATCAGGGAAATGCAAATCAAAACCACAATGATATCACCTCATACCTGTCAGGATGTCTATTATCAAAACAAAAATAGACAATAAGCGTTGGCAAGTATTTGGAGAAACTGGAACTCCTGCACATTATTAGTGGGAATTAGAAATGGTGAGGCTGCTATGAAAACAGTATGGAAGTTCCTCAGAAAATGAAAACTACCATATGATCTACCAACCCCACTTCTGGGTATATATTCAAAATAATTAAAAACAGTATTTCAAAGAGATTTTACACCCATGTTCACTGCAACATTATTCACAGTAACCAAGATGTGGCAGCAACACAAATGTCCATCTATGCATGAATGGATTTTTTAAAATGTAGTATGTACATACAGTGCATTGTTATCCAGCCTTAAAAAAGAAGGAAATCCTATAATATTTTACATGATTGAACTTCAAGGACAGTATGCTAAGTAAAACAAGTCAATCACAAGAAGACAAATATTGCATGATTCTACTTATATGAGGCATCTAAAGTAGTCAAACTCATAGAAACAAAGTAGAATCGTGGTTGCCAGGGGCTGAGAGGAGGAAATGGGGAGTTGTTCACTGGTATAGGTTTTTAGTCATGTGACAGGAAACGTTCTGGAGATCTTCTGTACAACACTGCATGCTTTTAACAATAGTGCATGGTACACTTAAAAATTTGTTAGGCTGGTAGATCTCATGTTGTGCTCTTACCACAATAAAAAACAGTAGGGAGAAAAAAACCCAAAACTCTACATAGGCCAAAGGACTCATATGTCTAATCTACGTTGATGATGGCTGTGGTATTTGAAAACAGTAATCAACTTCCTGAATCAAACACAAAGCAAGTAATAGTTTACTTGATATAAGACAACAGGGACTATTAGAATTTTCTCACAATTCAGAACTTTGGCTTTTAGCATTTGGGTATCCAAAAAGAGGACTTGAGAGGGAAGTTTATACATAAGAGGAAAACAATGACCCTAGTGAGAACACAGACCAGGAACTCAGTATGGAGGAAACCGGTCCACCACGGTGAACAAACACAGTACCTCGCACAGCAGGTGCTCCAATATTTGTTAAATGTTCGTGACTCATTCAATTTTTCTGTGCAACCTCCATAGCAAATACTGCGAATCTTGCTCGTTATTGCATTTCTTAAAACGTTAAAATTCAGAAAAACATTCTGCGTGACTGAAATTACATGAAACAAAACCAAACAAAAATCTCACATCTGAATTGCTTCAAACTGTTTAGGTGAAAAAGAAAACTGTGTGAAGTAAAGAAAACCGTTTCCTGAATCAACTGAGTGAAGTTCCAAGTTCCAGCTCTCTCACCCTCCTGAATATTTACCAGCACACTCTCAGCTTGCGCTAAACTTTTATTGCATAAAAAGCAGCTGAGTAATTTTGGAGAATGGGATTGTTTTGACTAAATCATCCAGATAATTCAAACAACTCAATTTCTAATAACAATCTGGGCGAGGCTGCCCTGCCCAGTAAATGTTCTCTATACTCCCCAGGACATAGCCAAGTCACACCCAGTTTAGCCAGGAGATGACAGTATCCCCTAGAAAGGAAACACGCCCTTATTGTTCAGTGATACGTGCAACCGCCAGCCAACGCTCCCCCGCCCTCCGTTCCTCGAGTTTATTCCAGTTTCCCGAGGGCGCTTTCAAATTTTGATTTTTTACGACGTCTCCTTTCCCCGAAAGCATCTAAGAGCTGCCCTAAAGCCTTCAGCCCCTTCCCCCAATACCGCACTCTGCTTAGAGCCCGCAGGCCTGTCCAGTAAAGTTATTTAAAATAAAAAGCGTAACAGAAGACGTCCAAGCAGGAAGAGAAAAAGGATACCCCGGGAACTGGGTTAGTGTCGGAATGAGCCATTCGTTTCGAAGGGAGGAGAGCCCCAGGTGCGAATTGTATCGCGGGTCTGAAGTCACTTACCGGACCTCCGATTCAGCAGGGCCTGAGTACATAAAACACCAAAGACCGGGCGGAGCGCAGGAAGGGGCGAGGGGCCGGAAGTGGAGCCTGGCAGGGCCGGCGGGCCTGAAGCGCGTCCCCCGTGGGCTCTGGTGGTGCGGCCCGAGGCGGCCGCGGCGGGGAGGCGGGAGGCGCAGGGCTGCGGCACAGAGGGCAGCATGGCGTACCCCGGGCACCCTGGCGCCGGCGGCGGCTACTACGCAGGCGGGGTGAGTGCTGCCCGCCCGGGCTCGCGGCCGAGGTGCGACCCCTGGATGCCGGGGGCGCCGAGAGGCCACACGTGGCGACTCCGCCGGGGCGGCTCCCGGGCGCCCCCGCACTGCCAGCCGCCTCTCCCCAGGCCCCTGCCGACCGGCCTCTGTCTCCAGCGCCCTCTTTCCCCCTGTCCCTTCTCCCCTCGGCTGGCTACCCGCGGACCGGGCGCGGGGGGCTTTTGCCC